GAAGAGCAAATGGCTCAGTCACACTGACCTTTACATGCTCGATAAGGAAACCGGCAGTGGCCACATGTGTCCGATAAATGTGTGTGCGTAGGAAATTAACCTTTGCGTATAGAAATCATTTATAAATTAGGCCTAATGTACAGTCAGCCATCATAATAATAAAAATAATAATACATTTTAATAATATATTTTAAAATTATTATTAGATCATATTAGAATATTATTTAAATCATATTTATTCATTATTATTTATGATCAATTATTTGTATAACATTTTTATATAATTTAACTTAACAGTTTATTCTAAATAATATATACATTATTATTATTAGGTAATATTATTTTATTATTATAGAAAACATTTATAAATTAGACATAATGTACAGTCAGCTGTCACTGTAGTCGTAGTAGTTGTAATTATGATAATAATAATATATACATTATTATTAAACAATACTAGTATATTAATAGAATAATAATTAATATTATTCATTATTATTAATTATATATATTTAATTATATTATTATTATTATAAGATTTTATTGTATTATCCTTTAATATTATTAATTATTTATCAATACACATATAAATATGCATATGTTTGTGAAACAATGTACAACCAGCCAGTTATGATCACAACTATTATTATTATTATTATTATTATGTAATATTTATTATTATTATTAGATGTAATATTTATTATTATTATTAGATGTAATTAATAATTACACTAGTTTTATAGAATAGCCTTCTAAACTGCTCACTACTTCAGTACTGCTTGTTATTAGCACTGCTGTTGTTTTCTAGAAGTCTCAGCTGCACAAACAGGCATATGTAAACACTCTGGGACTCTTGCAATGTCTTAAAAACACACACATGCACCGTAATGTGATGTAAACAAGGGATCTGCTGGAGCCGAGCATGGACCCGCAACAACAGCATGCGATGACATCAGCTGTATGCAGCAATGCTGTTATTCCAAACTTAAGTGTGTGTGTGTGTGTGTGTGTGTGTTTTGCACAGCCAGTTAACAGCTTGTTAACTGTAAAAACAGCATTTGTATGCTGTCTTTACCAGCAATGTAGATAAAGTGTGTGTTTTGTCTGTACAAGACCTTTGAAGGTACAAAGGCTCTTTTAACTAGAAAAATAAACACACATTATCACACATTTTAAGATGTTGCACTTGTAATGGTGAATTCACTGTTTTTTGATTAAACACATTGGAGATGTACATGAAGCTTTGATATTGCATGGGAAGAAAACATATTGTGTAATCTGATCAGTGATGCCATGTCAGCACAATGCAGGTCAATATGCGTCATATTAATGTGCTACCAGGAAAGTTGGCGTAAAGTTGACAGTAATAACAGTACCAGGTCCTGACACAAAGATGTGGGTGTGTTTGGCACCATGGCAACACGCCCACCAATTATCTCTAGAGAAACCAAGAGCATGAAGAGAAATATCATATATATATATATATATAAAAATTAAAAACTTAAATTAAAATTTTTAAATATTATTTGTGTATACTATCAGTCAGTAGTGATATTATATATAATACTACAGTTTTGACTTTTGTTGCTCTGCAGCACAACAGTGTTTGTCATCATCTAGTATGTGTATTTTGTCCCATTGCTCTGTTCGCTCCCTCGCTATTGTTGGGCCATGCGCGTATTTGCGTGCGCTGTCATGGTGAAGGCCTACGCGTATGTTTGTGCTGCTCATGATAACAAATGAGAGAGAAAACAAAACAGAAAAAGCAGCACACACACCTGTGCACTATATTCAAAAAAGAATTACGCAGGAACATAAGTTCACGCGACTTGCACACGTGCATACTTTGTCTTTCACACAGACAAGTGCACATTAACTACGCAAGCATTACGTAGGAAAATATGCTCACCATCCCTCACACACACATACACACAGAGCTCTGATAACAGCATGTGTGTGCACTCAAATGGGCTATTAACTATTGTGCTGTAACCACGGCGACCAGAGAGATCAACGTAACACGATCTATTAACTACTGCCAGGAGACGCAGAGGGAAAAAAGCGTCTGTCGCAACCTTCGTCTTTGTGTTTAAAGAACTCTGTTGCAGCTTTGAAATGCCTGTCTGTCGCTCTGCCTGTCTGTCTCTCTCTTTCTGTCACTGTCGGTCTCTGCCAGCCTCATTTCATTTCTTTTTCTGTCTCTCACTTTGCCTGTCTGTTTCTCAGCCTCTGTCTGTCACTTTCTGTTTCTTAGGGTGTCTCTCTCTCAGCTTGTCCATTTTACATTGTACAGTCTTTGCCTGTCAATTTCAGTCTATTTTTCTGTATCTCTCTCTGCCTGTCTGTCTCTCACTTTGTGGTCTTATGGCCTGTCTGTCTCCGTCAGTCTCTCTCTTTCTGTTTCTCTATATTTTTCTCTCTAAACATGTCAAATTCAAGTTCTGTCTCTCCACTTGTCCATCTGTTAGTATATGTTTGTCTCTCTCTTCCTTTTATTTCTCTGTCTTTCTCTCAGCTTTTCTTTTCTTCCATCTCTCTCCCTCTCTGCCTGTCTTTCTCTCACTTTTCTGTTTCTCAGCCTCTGTCTGTCACTTTCTGTTTCTTAGGGTGTCTCTCTCTCAGCTTGTCCATTTTCCTGTCAATTTCAGTCTATTTTTCTGTATCTCTCTCTGCCTGTCTGTCTCTCACTTTGTGGTCTTATGGCCTGTCTGTCTCCGTCAGTCTCTCTCTTTCTGTTTCTCTATATTTTTCTCTCTAAACATGTCAAATTCAAGTTCTGTCTCTCCACTTGTCCATCTGTTAGTATATGTTTGTCTCTCTCTTCCTTTTATTTCTCTGTCTTTCTCTCAGCTTTTCTTTTCTTCCATCTCTCTCCCTCTCTGCCTGTCTTTCTCTCACTTTCTGGTTCTTGGCCTGTCTGTCTCCCTGTCTCTCTTTCTTTCTGTCTGCCTCTCCACTTGTCCATGTGCCAGTGTCTGTCTCTTTTCTTTTCTTATGTCTATCTCCCTCTCCGCCTGACTTTTTCTCACTTTGTGGTTCTTTGCCTGTCTCTCTCACTGTCTGTCTGCCTCTTTTTGTTTCTTGTCCAGACTGTCTCTCCGCTTGTCCATCTGTGAGTCTATGCCCGTCTTTTTCTTCCATTAATATAATTTCACGTCTGTCTCTCTCTGCTTTATTTGTTATCACTTTCCCTCTCTCCCTGTCTTTCTTTAACTTTGCGGTCCTTTGCCTGTCTATCTCACAGTCTGTCTGCCCCTTTTTGTTTCTCATCCTGTCTGTCTCTCAACTTCTCCATAATGTCAGTTTATGCCTGTCTCTCTCTCTCTTCCTTTCTATTTTTCTGTCTTTCTATCTCTCTCAGCTTTCTTTCTCTCTTCTATCTCTCTCCCTCTCTTACTTGCTTTCTGTCTTACTCTCTCAGCCTGTCTCTCTGGCTCTCTGATTGATGTTGTTCCAGGGATAATGTAGAAGGAATCTGACCTAGATCCACACACAGGCCAGATTAACGGACATGACGTTATATGCGCTATGCCGTCAGATTAGCACGCTAGCAGCCTCCTACAACCAACTCAACCATTATCCACACGCATACAGACAGTTTCTATTTATTTTTACTGTTACTGATTCACGACAAGATGAATTATTAAGTCCATTCAGAGAAGAAAGAAATTAGCCTTTAGAGTCTACCATAGTTAATGTCCATTTATATCTGATTGCTAATAGCTTTAACATGTAGCGAATCAGCTCATGGGGAAATATGAATAATTAACCATAACTAGTTATAATTAACTATTCATATTTTAGATCCACTGTAGATATTTAGCTGACCACTCAGGGTCAACTGTCTTGTCAATTCTAAGATGTATTCAATCAAAGAAAGGTTTTCCTATGAATTAATTAGAGAACAGTCCATTTCTCTGGGCATTATGTGTCTTTCTTATGAGGAAAATGAGGGAGTTTATCCCCTGCATTCCTTTTAGGCCATAAAACCAGTGATATCAGCATTGGTTACCATGGAACCAGAGGCCTGTTCTGCCTTTCTGAGGTGTTAGGTGCATTTCGGGGGAAGGGTCCATAGACCCTCGTAATTGGCCATTTGGTTAGGTGACGGGGAGTTCGATATTATTTGTTAAATATAACAAAAAGTTGTGTGTCTGATTGGTCCAAATGCTACAACATACAAGCAACTAGATTTGTTTAGTGACCACATTTCTTACTAGAGACTTGCAATAAAATGATAAACAACCCTTTAACTGGAGTTTCAGACAAAATGGTTTTTGCTTTCTTTATAGCATGTGTTTTCACAGTGAGACTGAGGAATAAACGTTCCACAGCACCATCAGATATAAGAAACATCGACATTTGTGCATAAACGCCAATATTTAGACTATACACAGACGTCTGAGGGAAACGCAGGTTGCGTTAGGACAGGGTGAAGGGTTAAGAACCTTAGGATAGACACCCTCTTGTCTCCTCTCGTCTCATATCATCTCTTTCTCTCTCTTCTAATCCCCCCCCTCCCTCCCCAATCTTCTCTCTTTCTTCTCTGAATTGATTAGCATTCATCCTGATGTGCAGGTCTTCCGTGGAGAGCTGATAGCGTGCTGACAAATGGTCAGGGAGAGAGAGGGCGTCGCTCTCAAACGGACATCCTGCATTAACCAATCAATAACCAAACACCAGGGATGGGGGGAGCTCAGCTTGCCCAATCATTTGCATCAGCCTGTTTGCTATAAAGGAGATGGAGAGGAGAGGAGAGGAGAAAGAAAGCAGTTTAAGAGTTTGTGCAGCAGGCGAGAGTAGAATGCTGTCGTAGGCGTTATAGAGGGAGCGAAAGAAAAGAAACGAGGGAGAGAGAGAAGCCGCAAGGGCAGCGGTTATTTTATCACAGCAGTTCTTCATTTTCACAGCGGTTCAGCACAGCCAGAGGCACCGGAACACAATCTAACACAAACACACGCACATTTATCTAGCTGTCTACATAAGGACTGCCCATTGACTTCTATTGTTATTACATTTAGCCAATTATAATTACCATAACACTGAAAAACACATTTTGGCATTTTTAGAAACTAATACTAATATTTTAGTATTATTTGGTTTTCATTTTCAAGATGTCCCTAAAGGTGCCATAAGGTTATAAAGGTGGCACTAATATAATAGTAGCGCCATGGTAGTGTTTGGAGTACCATGTATTACATAATAAATTAATATGGTAATCATAAAATATCATAGTATATTTCAAAGTACCATAGTACTACCCTCTGATACATCACTGTACCCCAACTATACTTTTTGTAAGGGTCTCTACAGGGAAAATCACTTGCCATGGTACCACATTCATGTACTTATTCTACAAAACCAGTATTGTGGCAAACTTGGAAGGTAATACCCTGGTACTTTGGAATAAACCACAGTAATTGCATTAATAGTCCATAGTATTTGCATAGTACTTCCAAGAAAATCATGGTAGTAGCATGGTATATGTCCAAAATACCATGGTAGTACTGTGGTACTTATTGGTATGGCATTTCACAGAATACTATGGTGTTATAATATATTTACTTAGTAAATTATTTCAGTCAATACCATAGTAATGCCATTGTAGCCTTCCTGATACCGTTCGGGGTTCAGACACACTCTCTCTGT